GGGACGATGGCTGGGCTGATGGGGGAGGAGATACAGGGAGAGCTGGAGAGAGGACAGGGGACACTCCCGTGGCTGCTCATTTCCAGAGCCTCTTGGATGGAAGCCCTCACCCACACAGGTGGGGTCCCTGAGCCTTTTCAGAGCAGGACCGGTGGCTGCTCTGCCTAAGTTGGGACCTGGCGTGGGTGATGATGCTATCCCCACTGGACACCCTGCTATAGTGAGAAGTGTCCCCACCTGTGGGCACCACTCTGCAAGGCCCTGTGCTCACTTGGAGGTCTCCAGGCCCTCAGTACTCACCTGAGATTGAGGGGGCACCATGGAGGGCTCATGAGGAACTAGAGGGATCCTGCCCTGACTGTGAAATTCATGGCTACTCTCTGCATTTAAAAAAATGTTTATTGTTGAGGTTATTACAGAAGGAAGGGATATTACCCTTCCTTCCATAACCTCCCTCCATCTGGGGCTTGTCCTGCCCCAGGCCTTCACCCACTATTGTCTGTGACAACAGGCACTGCAAATATGCTTATACGTTCATTGGTTAATTGCCTCCTGCCCCGATACACTTCCCTCTGAGATTCATCAGTCTGTTCCATGTTTCCATGCCTCTGGTTCTATTTTGTTCATCACTTTATTTTGTTCAGTAGATTCCACATATAAGTGAGATAATGAGATATTTTTGTTTAACTGACTTATTTTATTTACCATATTAATCTCCAATATAGTTTACACACAACTCTCTATCATTGCTTTTGTTCTGAGAACTTTTAAGCAACAGTTACTTGCACATATAAATTTAAGTTTGAAATATTTAGGAGTTCAAAATGATATTTCTACTCTTATTTTAATGGGAAATATATTAAATTTATACAATTATTATGAAGACTAATTTTAATTAATATGAACTGTCTTATAAAAGTTGCTTCAGATTTTTGTTTTTACTTTAGATGGTTTTTGCAATCTATAATAAGAAAAGGGTAATTTGCTTATTAGACCAGACATCTTTCCAGACGTCCTTCCTGATGAAGCTAGGGCCAGAGAGAAGCCAGCCGGATCCCGGGTGCCTGCAGGTGGCTCAGGGGAAGCCAGCCTGGCTCCCAGGTGTCTACGGGCGGCCGGAGGAGGGAAGTCTGGGTCCCGAGTGATGGAGGGAAGCCGGTGCTGGCACCTGAGGGAAGGAAGACCTACTCTTGCATGAAATTTCGTGCATTGTGCCTCTAGTTTTATTCATAAAATCATCCACACCAGTAGCTCAGAAATTGTTAGAGTTCTGCATGAATGCATGTCTGTATATTTGAGACTAACCCATTGATGCTGGGTCCTCAGCTGTTGCATAAATATAAGCTCTTGTACCCAGATGGGTTAGCACCCATGGCTCAGAATCCCACAGGGAGCACAAAGATGAAACTAACGGATTTTCTGCAATGAGAGATCATGTTTCTCCCCAATCCTGAATTCTTCATCACAGACTAACTGTGCTCCAAAGTGATTGAGAAGCAAAGTCTAAACTCATAATCCCCAGGGAGATGGAAAGAATCCATGAAAGTAGCCAAGACCCTTCTCCAGCAGAGAAAGGGTTCATGGGGGGACTGGTAGCAGTTAGGTCATGAGAAAGAGGAGAGCTATGGGGATGCTGGGTTTGAGGGGCATCAACCCCTCACACAGCCCAACTCCTATCTGGTTCTCAGGAGCAGCCCACACCATCAGCCCATCACACAACAACTCAGACCCCAAGAGTGGTGAGTAGAAGACTCTCTCTGTTATGGGCTTAGCACAGATGGTCATGTCCTGTCAAGGGGAGGGGGTCCCTGGGTGGACATCCAGGGTCCCGGGTGACTTTGTCCTGCTCTGACCCCTGTGATCTGTTTTTCCAGAATCCCCAGCCTCTCATCCCCAAGACTACACCCTGGAGAATTCCATCCGGTTGGGCGTGGCTGGTTTGGTCCTGGTGGCACTTGGGGTGCTGCTCTATCAGGCGTGAAACAGCCAGAGAAGGACCCACGATGCATCCAGGGAGTGAACACAGAGGGAACAATGCACTGTACAGAGAGGGGGATCTTGGGAGTGAATCTCATGTGTCCAGAAGGTTCTGTAACACAACGTGAAACATATGCTGAGGGACCTGTCTGCGGCTCCTTGAAGGTGGAGGAGCCATCGCTCACGTGCAGGGACAAGGTCTGGACCTTCTGCCACTGAACTGTGGTCCTTTCCCTCCTGACCACAAAGAGTTCCTGACGTTCCCCATTTTGGTGAAATTTGCATTCATCCTACATGGCAGCTACAGGTCCACAACAACTTACACTTTCATAGAATACGTTTTCCTTTATTTCTATTTACATGGACCTTCATGTCTGTGTGGAGGCCCCATCTCCTGAGTCCTTAGCATGCTGTCTATTGGAATCATTCGACAAGGTGCACAATCCATCCTGAAAGAGATGAACCCACAAGTGGTCCCAATGCCCTTTCTGGACTCCACACACCCCTCACCTATCCTTGGAGGCCACCCATGTGCTTTCTGCAGCAACCTAACCCCTTGGTATTAAGACCTGGTTGTTTGAAGGGGCTTTCCTGGTCTGCGCTGCCTCTGAAACCCCCCATTGTCCAAAACACAGTGAAACACACAAACAGCGTTTTACAGATGTGCACCCTTGAAACCTATGTCCTGTTGTTCACTGATGGCACCTCAATAAATTTAATTTTAAAAAAACTTCTGAATTCTGGTATTTGAGAATTTCTCTGGTATATATGCCTCCTTCATGGCCAATGTGAAATGCCCATGTTGTTATTGTAGAGGGACTCGCCCAGAATGGGTCAGCCTCAGGGTTATTTAAAATTGTTAAAAAATATATATTCCTACTGATTTGAGAGAGGAAAGGAGAGGGAGGGAGGGAAACATCAATGATGAGAGAGAATCATTGATCTCCTGCCTCCTGCACGCCCCACACTGGGATCCAGCCAGCAACAAGGGCAGGTGTCCTGATGGGGAATTAAACTGTGACCTCCTGTCGATGCTCAACCATGAGCCACACCAGCTGGCAGTGTGTGAGCTCTTGACTTCATGTAGGAAGGCCTTCACAACGATGTCCAGGTGATGATGAGAGCATGTTTATTACAGCTGGGGACAGTGAAACACAGGGAGGGCTTAGGGTAGAAGAAGCCATAGGAGAGAGCTTAGGCAGGGTTTTGGCTATTTGGGAAAGTTATAGGAAAGAAGTGAGCCAAGGTAGGGACAGCTTCACTGTGAGCCTCACACTCACCACTGGACAGATTCCTATGCTGGACTCGCCTGGATTATTGAATCTGTTTCACACACACAGGGTGTGTGGGTCAGTGCTGACCAAGGGCTGGATCAATGGGTGGAGACATCCCTGTACCCATCCCCCAAATATGTATGTGGAGGGGTGAACGCTGCTTCCTACTGTCTCTCTGTTCCACATCCCTCCCTGCATTCGAGCACCTGCAGAAGCTTATCTGACCCCACAGAGCTGGGACCCTCCCCTCCAATGACCCCTTGCAAGTCCCAGGCATCGAGGGCCACTCAGCTTGGACCAATTTTATTTGTTGCTGGTGGTTCTGATCTTGGGAACTTTTACTTCTCTTTTATGTATTGACTGTGGTACGTAATCCTATATAATAAAAGGGTGATATGCAAATTGACCCTAACATCCGAACGACCGGAACAACCACTCAACCAGTCACTATGAGGCGCACTGATCACCTCTCGGTCCCTTTCCCAGGCTGGCAGGCTTTGAACACCCTTTGGTGAACCGGGAGTTGCTGCGGCAGGGGGTAGGACCAGCTGCCATCAGCTGGGAAGATGGCCCGGATCGCAGGCCAGGCCTAGGGATTGTACCCATGAACGAATTTCGTGTGCCAGGCCTCTAGTCCTGAAATATTATAAGTAGTATTTCTGAGAATTAATAGCAGATGGAGGCCCTTGGGTGGGCACATCCATTGTCCACGTTGTCTGTGGAGTTAGATACCTTGATTCTCTCATGTTTCCACCCACCCATCTTCATCTGATCTGGGAATCAGCAAGGATGGACCCCTCCCATGGCCCAGGCACCACGGAACACACAAGCAATCTGAGGATTTGAGTTCATAACATGTTGTGGATGGGGAAACTGAGACTCAGAGATTGAATGTTACTACTTAAGAGCATAAGGGCCGGGATGATGAAGGAGAATTTACATAAGAATGAACTTTGTCACCAACCCTACTGAACACTCACTGTCCCCAAAGCTGGATATCTGAGGCCAGGAACTCAGAATGGGGCACATCTCTGTCCAAGGAACAAGGTACTGAGGAGGCAGGAGTGAGTCATAACCTTGCTCCCAGGAAGGAGAGGGTGGCTGCTGTGGCAACAAAAAGGAGAAGGTCCTGAGGAGCCTGTGAGACACATAAAGCCCACACTCTGGGGCCAGGAGAAGAGTTGGTTTTCCTTCCCTTATTTCCCTTCATTTCCCTCTGTGCTCATTGTCACAGTGACATCGCCCTCAGCTGCGCAGTGAGACGGTGAGCACGTCCCTGCTGATCTGAGCTCTGCAGGCCACAATCACCCACATCTTCCTGAACGTCTCCAGGGCCCGGGTGACACTATCCATGGTGAGGACCCCAGGGAGGTGCTGATGGTAGGGCTGAGGAGGAAGGAGACCCCGTGGGGGAGGTACTGTCGGGGAAGAAGATACCCTGGGTCACCTCCCCTGCAAGGGGTGTCTCAGAAGGCTCTGAGACTATTATTTGCTTCACCATAAACATGAGGGCCAAGGTGCTAGATAGAGGTTGTTCCCTTTCATGAGGAACTGATGACGTGACAACCATGAGAGAAGGAGGACCAGCCTCCCAGTGCCCACACCCTCTGTGCCTGCCCAGACGGCACCATCGTATTCACTCTCCATCAGAGCGAGGAGACACCATGACCTCCACCCTCATCGCTGTGCTTTTCATTGGTGAGATTTCAAGGGAGAGGGGAGCCCTGCTCTGTCAGGACCCCAGGACTCAGGAGCCTCATGGGGAGGAGGGTGCTGCTCAGGATTGAGGGACAAATCTCTCACAGGGACTCTCTTCCAGGGCTGAGTGTGGACCCCAGGACCCCAGTGCAAGCAGGTGAGTCTCCACAGGAGTCCCAGGTCCCTCTCCCTGGGGACAAGGGGTTACAGCCTGTGCATCTGGGGATGGACAACAGTGGTTCTGGGTTAATGGATGTGGGGCATCTTAGAAATGTGGGGGTGGGTAATGCCTTCTAACCCAGCCTCTGGTTTCCTTCCAGTGCCCCTCCCCAAACCTACCCTCTGGGCTGAGCCAGGTGCTGTGATCCCCTGGGGGAGCCCTGTGACCATATGTTGTCAGGGGACCCTAGAGGCTGAGGAGTACCTTCTATATAAAGAGGGAATCCCAGTACCATTGGACAGAGTAAAGCCACTTGCGCCTGGGGACAAGGCGAAGTTCTCCATCTCACACCTGACAGAGCTACAGGCAGGGAGATATCACTGTTACTATTACAGCCCTGATGGTTGGTCAGAGCGCAGTGACCCCCTGGAGCTGGTGGTGACAGGTGAGAGGACTCTCAGGGGTCCCAGCCTCAGGCTCTTCCCTCAGGAAGGGGGTCTGCTCTCAGGGTGTCTCCCTCTCACAGCCCAGCCCTGGGGACGTGAGGGAGGAGTGAGCCCATTTAACACGCTGCCTCCTCCTCTCCTAGGAGCCTACAGCAAACCCAGCCTCTCAGCCTTGCCCAGCCCTGTCGTGACCTCAGGACGCAACGTGACCCTCCAGTGTAGCTCAAGGCAGAGATTTGACTGGTTCCTTCTGATGAAGGAAGGCGACTACAGGCTCTACAGGATCCTGGACTCACAGCCACAGCCCAGTGGGCAGTTCCAGGCCCTGTTCCCTGTGGGCCCCGTGACCCCCACACATAGGTGGAAGTTCAGATGTTATGGCTGTTACAGGAATAGGCCCCAGGTGTGGTCACCAGCCAGTGACCCCCTGCAGCTCCTGGTTTCAGGTCAGTACTATTATTGCCCCATCGACAGACTGAGATACCAGCCAGGTCATTGGCATCTTTGCTGTGAGGGGAGGCCCATGTGAGAAGGTGGGGTGAGTGGAGCACAAGGGCTCCTGGGCCGAAGTCACAGAGAAAGACAGTGAGACCTGGAGGCCAGGAGAGAAGGGCTTTATGAGAGGAGCAGCCCCTGTAACTCATGTCTGGTCTCCCCAGGTGCCTCTGGGAAGCCCTCCCTCCTGAGCCAGCAGGGCCCCATTGTGGCCTCTGGACAGAGCCTGACCCTCCAGTGTCGCTCTGATGTCAGCTATGACAGATTCGCTCTGCACAAGGAGGGGGGACAGGGCCTCTCCCACAACCTTGTCCTGCAGCCCCAGGCTGGGCTCTCTCAGGCCCACTTCCCCCTGGACACTGTGAGCAGCTCCCACGGGGGCCGGTACAGATGCTACGGTGGATACAACCTCTCCTCTGAGTGGTCGGCCCCCAGTGACCCCCTGGACATCCTGGTGGCAGGTGAGGAGCCAGTGGGTTCAGTCAGGGACCAGACTCTGCACAGGCCCTGCTGCTGATCTCAGGTGGTGAGGCCACAATGACAGTGCTAGGCCCAGGGAGAGAGATAGACAGAGAGTCAGGGGAGAAGGGGAAACTCAGAGAAACAGAAACAGACAGAGAGGGGGGTCCTCAGAGAGAGGCCTGGTGACTCTCAGGACAGGACAAGGTGGGCAGTCAGGCCTCATCCTCCTCCCTCTCTCTAGGACACCTGCCTGACACACCCTCCCTCTCGATGGTCATGCATTCAGGAACCTGGGTGGCCTCAGGAGTGAATGTGACCCTTCTGTGTCAGTCACAGAGCCCAAGGGACACGTTTCTTCTTTCCAAGGAGGAGGCAGCTGATCCCCCCCTGCGTCTGAGATCAAAGCACCAAGCTAAGCAGTTCCAGGCAGAGTTCTCCATGAGTCCTGTGACCTCAGCCCTCGGGGGCACCTACAGGTGCTACAGTTCACACAGCTCCTCTCCCTTCCTGCTGTCACTCCCCAGTGAGCCCCTAAAGCTCCTGGTCTCAGGTGAGCAGCCTGTCCTGTCCTCTCTGAGCTCCAAGGTCATCTCTCTCTTTGTCCCTAGCAACGTCTGAGATGTGATGGAAGTAGTGGGAGCACTGGGTGGTTCCACAGAGGAGGGTCATCTCCTGATAGGGTGGACACAGGCGGGGACCTCCCTCCCCGGGACAGCCCCACCCTGCAGTCTCAGACAGGCCTGAGGGAGGGCTGTCAGCGGCACTACTCGGGTGATGCTAACAGGAAATGAGATTTAACTGAAGTGACCAGACAGAAGCCCTACCCCCTGACTTCTGGTGGCTCCACCTCAGAGCAGAGCATTGCTGCTCCCAGGGGGACATCCCACAGGCAGGATCCCAGGAAATGGGGCTGAGTGTGTGTGGACTCAGCTCTCCTGGGAGGTGAACTCTGAGAACCTTTCCCTCTGAACAAGGGTGCTGCCTGCCATGACCTGCAGGGGCACTTTCATTTCTGACTTCCTGGGACACCTGACACCTGGCTTGTCCTAGACCTGCTCCAGGGGCAGCCTCTCTGGGCCTGTCCTGCTGCTCTCAGTGTCTGTGACCTTGTAGGGATTGAAAAGCTGAGGGAGTCAGCGGGAAGGCACACTGATTATCCGACAGGCCTGGGGGCTCAGCTTAGCAAGAGGAGCCACCATGTTATGGAGGCACCAAAGATTTGAAAACACCCACTTAGCATCTCAGCTCCTCCTGGTTCCACACAGAATCTGTGGCGTTTTCCATTAAAAGCCAGGAGCCCTGCATAGTTAGCTTGGTCCCCGGGTCCCTAAGCAGGTGGACAGTGTGTGGAGTGGGAGATGGAGAGGGTCAGCCTTTGGTGCCCAGGCCTGGCTTGTAGCACACGGAAGATGGCTTTGCTGATGGGGGAGGAGAGACTGGGAGAGGTGGAGAGAGGACAGGAAACACTCCCTCAGCTGCTCATTTCCCGAGCCCCTTAGATGGAAGCCCTTCCCACACAGGTAGGACCTGAGCTTCTCAGAGCAGGACAGTGCCTGCTCTGGCCAAAGTGGGAACTGCTGTGGGTGACGGTGCTGTCCCCACTGGACATCCTGCTGTAGTGAGAAGTATCCCCACCTGTTGGCACCACTCTGCAAGGTCCTATGCTCCTGGAGGCCTCCAGGCCCTCAGTGCTCACCTGAGACTCAGGGGGACCACAGACACCTCATGAGGAATCAGGGGGATCCTGCCCAGACTCTGAAATTCATGGCTGTTCTCTGCATTTCAATCTGTATTGTTGAGAATATCCCAGATGCCCCCCCCCTTTTCTCCTCTATAACCATCCTCCAGCTGGCTCCCTCCCAGCCCTTCCCATGCCCTCACTGCACTATTTTCTGTGTCCATGGGCATGGATATATGCATACAAGTTCTTTGGTTAATCTCTTCCCACCCTCTCCTCTTTACCTCTTAGATTCCTCAGTCTGTTCCGTGTTCCCATGCCTTGGGTTCTATTTTATCCATCACTTTATTTTGTTCCTTAGATTCCACATATCAGTGAGGTCAGGTGATATTTGTCCTTCTTGACTGGCTCATTTCGCTGAGCATAATGATCTCGACATGTTTTGCACACACTTCTCTATTATTGCTTTTGTCCTGAGAACTTTTACATGATGGTTACTTACACATTAAAATTTTAGTTGCAAACATTTAAGAATTAAAAGAGGTAATTCAACTCGAATTGCCAAAGATGCTTCAAAGGTGCTGTGTTTTGTTTTTTTTACTTCAGAACCATTTTTTTCAGTTTTATTCATATAATTTCCCCAACACATAGCTGAAGAATTGATTAAGTTCTACATAAATGCATGTCTGTATATCTTCAATCAACCCAGGGTCCTGGGTCCTCACTGTTGCATAAATATAAGCTTTTATACCCAGATGAGGTAGCTTCCATGGCTCTGAATCCCACAGTGAGCAGAGAGATGGAAATAACACATTGTTTTCTGCAACGAGAGACCATAATTCTTCCCAATTCTGAATTATCAAAGCAAAGCCAAACTGTGTTTCAAAGTGACTCAGAAGCGAAGTCTAAACTAAAAAGGCCCAGGGAGACAGAAAGAATCCGTGAAAGAAGCCGGGACCCTTCTCCAGCAGAGAAAGGGATTGTGGAGGGACTGGTAGCAGTTAGGTCATGAGCTATGGGGAGGCTTGGCTTGAGTCGCATCAACTCCTCACACAGACAGACGTGAACACAGAGGGAACAATGCACTGTTCAGAGAGGGGAGCCTTGGAAGTGAATCTCATATGCCCAGAAGGTTCTGGAAGAAAACGTGGGACATATGCTGAGGAATCTGTCTGCACCTCATAGCAGGTGGACGAGTCATTGCTCATGTGCAGGGCCAAGGTCTGGACCTTCTGCCATTGAACTGTGGTCCTTTCCCTCATGACCACTGTGAGTCCTGTGACTGGATCCTGACTTTCCTCATTTTGGTGAAATTAGCATTAATTCCACTTGGCAGGCACAGGTCCACACCTCCATACACTTTCATGGAATATGTTTTCCTTTATTTCTATTTACACGGACCTTCATGTCTGTACGAATCCCCATCTCCTGAGTCCAGAGAATGCTCTCTACTGTAATCTACAAGGTGCACAATCCATCCTGTAAGAGATAAACCCACAGGCAGGTCCTAACACCCTTTCTGGACTCCACACGCCCTTCCCTGGCCATCGGATGCCACCTGTGTGCTTTCTGCAGCAACCTTACTCATTGGAATCAAGACCTGGTGGTTTGAAGGGGTCACCTGGACTGTGCTGCCTCTGAAAACCCCATTGTCCAAAACACAGCGAAACACACAGACCACGTGTTACAGACGTGCACCCTTGAAACCTATGTCCTGTTATTCACTGAAGACATGCCAATAAATTTAATTTTAAAAACACTGATTTTTGGAATTTGCCATTTTCTCTGTTACATATGTCCTCTTCATGGCCAACGTCAAGTACCCATGTTGTCACTGGTCAGACTCCAGCTCAGAGCAGATCCTCGCAGGCTTGTCAGTAGTGTGTGGGTTCTGCACTTCCTGTTGGAAAGATTTC